AAGGGAAGGGAAGGGAAGGGAAGGGAATTCCCTTCCCCTTGGTTACACCCCAATTTGGGGGTAACAAATTTTATACTATTAGAGGGTGAACCAAGCGGAACTAGGGTGAATTAACTTCACCTCCTAAGTGTTCCCAAACAAGGTGAATGGAGGTGAATGGTTCCCTTAACTTCCCTTCACCCTCATTCCCCTCAATCCAAACAAGCCCTAATGATATTCTGGTACACTCCAATGTTTATAGGTGTTTTGTCCAAATTTCAAAGTAAGAAAGTCCTATGCGAGTTGGTCAAACTTCATGATTGTTCAGTAAAATTTACATGTCAATGAAAGTTCCTAGATCAAATTTTCACAGCGTTGATTCTTTAATTTCTAGAAGGTTAAGGGCATGTTTGGTTGACCCCAAAATAGGAAAATATTGATTTCCAGTAAAATAGCTCGAGCCCTTGATATTGTAAGATCTCAACCTATTTTAGGGCCCGTTTGGTTGGTTTCCTAAAATCAAAGAAAATGAAATCGGTAGAAGGAAATCAATAAAATAATATTTTATCCGTTTCCATCCCTAAAACTCACCCACAACATCTAATAAAATATTATTTTTATCTTCCAACTCATCTCATTTCATCTCCTTTCTTACCTTTAAAAATAAACCAAACATAAAAAATGTGTCACATCATCCAACTCATCACATCTCATCTTATCTCATTTTTAAAAATCACACACATCATCCAATAATATTGTGACAACTCATCTCATCTCATTAAACCTTCCTTTCCATCCATTTCCTAAAAAAAATAAGAAATTGATTTTCTTAAGTATGTGTCACATCATCCAATAATATACCTCCAACTCATCTCATCTCATCTATTTTCTTATTTTTAAAAACGAACCAAACACAAACAACCTAAAAACATCATCCAATAATATACCTCCAATTCATTTCCTTATTTTTTTTTAACCAACCAAACAACCTCAAAACAATTTTTTAAAAAAAATCACTCACATCATCCAATAATAAGGTGACAACTCATCTCATCTCATCTCCTATTTTATAATTTTCCTTCTTTTTTAAACCAACCAAACAACCTCAAAACAATTATTTTAGGAAATAGGTTTCCTATTCTTTAATTTCCCATTCTTTTTTGCGAAACGAACAGCCCCTTATATCAAATTCCCTTTACTAAAAGCACGAGTTCGAATTTTTTTTCATAATTAATATTCTTCTTTAATATTTTAAATATTTTATTTAAATCTTAAGTTATGCTAATCTTAATTATATTTTATACTAATCTAATGCGAATTATCTAGAGCTCAACAATCTAAAAAATAAGAATAATAAAACATATGATACATTATTTAGACTATTTCATTTAAATCCCAATCTGTCACAACATTAATTATAGTATATACTAGACACATGTGAACTATCTATAACAGAGGATATCTCGATCGGGGGAGAAAACTAACAATTAAAAAAAATAAGGTTAAGAAGTCATACTTAACTGACATCTTGTAGACAATAAAAATTGCCTTTATCCCTATCAGAGAAGTTCATAACAAGACTGCTAAAACCTCATCCGAAAGAGCAAAAAAGGAAAAAACGCTGATATCTCTTAAACCGTAAGGAATTTGGAGAAACGGAGGCGGCAAACCCCTTTCGGAGGTTTGGTTGGCTCCGTCTCGTCGAGATAGTCGATTTTCATATATAATTCGTCAAATTCCGACTTACGGTTTGAAAGTTATGGCCTATTCTTAGAAGCATGTTCAGTAGCTCGCCTAAAGGCTGAAGCTCGCCTGTAAAGAAGTCCGTCTACAAGGATAGAGCTCGCCTAACAACATTGAAGCTTGCCTGAATGAGATTCGCCTG